GTACCTCCCTAGTGTTACTGCTCTCATGATAGACCTGTCCATTGCTTAGGTGAGACTTCGTAAGACGTGGAATTGAGGAATTGCCTGAAATCAGAAGTCAGAATGTTTCGGGAGTCTGTGGCTACCTGGCTGCCTTTTGGACTGCAATAGGTTACTGGAGAGAAAAGGAGAGCAGATACAGGGACAGGAATGAAGAGAGAAGGGAGTTGTTTGTTTGTTTGTTTGTTTGTTTTTGCCTACAGGATCCTTTAATAACTCAGAGACCACACACGCAGGTTTGCCTCACTGACCCTCTGCTCAAGATTCGCCTTTGAGGCCCCACTGAAAGTCCCCGTTAGCCCTTTCTCCGGTTCATTGATTGTGTTCTGTCTAGTCTTTCCCTGGCCCCTGGCATTCCCTGGTGGATGAGATCTGCTCTACTCTCTGGCCTAGCTAATAATAAATGCATGCAGATAACCTCCTTGGGAATCTCAGGAGAGGAGACTATTGTCACTGGTTGTATGGAAGTGCCAGGAGGCCTTTTTCAGTTAATAGTTAACAAATGTTTGTTGAATTTCAGTAGTCCACTAGACACTTCCAGAGTACTGTGGAAACAGTAGGAAATTGAGCAAACTCTCACTCTTTTACAGCTTATTTTTTATCGAAGAGATATATTTTAAGACAAATAATCATTAAATATGTGTTGTATGTCATATAGTGATCACTGCTTTGGAGTAAAATTAAATCGAAAGAAGATAAAAGGGGATGGTTCTAGTGTTAAATACGGTGCCCAAGGAAGGGTTCACTGAGAATGTGATGGTTGAGGGAAGACCTCAGAAAACGGTAAAGGGACCCATGTGGATGATGCTGGACGAACAAGGAGACCGTGGTAAGTGACGAGGTCTGAAGTCTAAGAGAGAGTAAAGGAGGGTACTTATTTAGGGCCTTATAAGTCATTGGAAGGATTTTTACTTTTATTTAGACCAAATGGGAAAACATTGAATCATTTGAACAGTGGAGTCATCATGTGATCTCATTTATCTATTCAAAGAAATATAAAAACTACAAAATGAACTGATGCCAGGGGTTTAAGTGGAGAGCAAATGTTTTGAGAATGATGAGGGCAATAAATGAACAAATGTTCTTTACACTATTGATGTATGTATGGATTGTGATAAGAGTTGTATGAGCCCCTAATAAAATGATTAAAAAAAACCCAACTACTCCTTTGTTGAGACTAACCTACCAGATAAAGGGCAAGGAGAGAGGCTGGATGGTTCTTGGAAGGAGAATGTTTGAAGGATTGAGGTGATAAAAACTAGTCTGATTCTTGATACATCCATGGAGCAATCCTCCAATTGAAAAGCTTCATTATTAACCACAATAAACTCTAGGGCTAACATGGAAGCTCTACATATAAATCCTCGTAAACCACAGGTTGACCTATTGTGAATGCAGTCTAATCAAATGCAGGGGAAGGAGGAGGCACATTGTGGAAAAAGAAAAAATATATAAAACCTATTCAGAAAGGAGGCCTAGTCTAGACTCAGCTCTTTGTAGTTCTTAAAAAATATATATTATAAGCAGTACATTCTTGTAGATAATTGTATGGGGCATGGGAATGTTTTGTATTGATTGCTGTGGAGACAGTGATGACTTTAATTTCTCTGCTCTTCTGGCTGCAAGTGGGTGTTAGACATTGTGTGTGTGTGTGTGTGTGTGTGTGTGTGTGTGTGTGTGTGTGTAGAGAGAGAGAGTTTGAGCAGGCTGTAAAGCTGAAACTATTCCCTGGGCAATAAAAACCTGAAATTCTACTAATGAGGTTTAAAAAAAAAGACCCAACTTTTCTAGTGTGCTTAATAATAGCACTTCCTACTGACACAACCAGGGTCCCCTGAATAATTGCCCTCTTTCTCCGATTTATTTTTATGACCTAAAGAACATTTGGGGGGAAGTGCCTTCAGGTAGAGAGCCTTTCCTTCTAAATGCTCAATCTCAGGGCTTCAGCATTTGGCACTAAAACATATTCAATGCATCCTTTCAAGTGAAAGGTACGTAAGTGAAAATGAAGGATGCAAGTCAAATGCATCTTGGAGCTTGTGATGGTGTGTCCTTCAGTGTGAGGATAAAAGATCATTTGCTGCAGATTCCATCTTTCCTAAATTAGGGAATTTTTCTGTGACATTTTATCTACTCTTTCGGACAACATCTGTGTTTGCCAGTAATAGAACTGGAGGGTGTCTAAACTCCCAGAATTTCACTAGCACTTTTAAATTTGAAGAGAAGATGGAATCTAAGGCATGGTAAATATTAATACTGTTAGAGCTCCAGTAAGTATATAGAAATGTTTGAAATATATTTGATAGAGTTTCCTCCCCCCACCCTTTGTAACCTATCAGCATATTTAATGTGGGTTCCCAAGTATTAGGCACTTTATTTGGTACTGATTAATACTTTAAAAGATTGTTTCTGTGAAGGTCCATGACCCAACAAACATGTATTCTGTAAAGAGAAGAGAGACAGTGATTTTTAAAAGAGAATGTAAAAGAATCAAAGCTTGTTGCAGATATTGGTTGACTAACTGGTTGAGCTGCAGAATTATTTTTGTGGAAGGCTATTTTGGTCCCAGAGTAACCTTTAGAGACAGCAAGCAGGTGTACAATCTTGAACATCTCCTGCGTCATCCGTCTGTCTGTCCTTGATCTACAAGTCTGAAAAATGCACAGGCAGTAAAGATGGATTCACACTCAGCACCATGCGGGTCACTTCCTTTGATCTGTGTTTTCAGTAGGAAGCGGCAGAGTAGACTTAGAGACGGGTTCTCAGGGACAAACTGTGCTTGTAGATTAAAGGTCACTGAAGCATAGGCTTAAAATGGAAAATGAAGAACAGTGACTTCTTGATATCAGGAATTATTTATTATAATTGTTGTTAAAAGGGAAACAAAGGAATCGTTAAAACTTATAACAGTGTGTAGTCATGAAATAGACAAGTATTTATGTTCACAAAGACCTTTATGTACTAGTGTTCAGAAGTTTTTGCAAGAGTGAGTAAGATGGATTGAATTTGAAGTTCCCTAACTCCAACGCACTCTCTGATGCTAAACAGCTTTCTTTCTGTGAAGACTTTATAATCTAGCTCAAGAGGAAAATGAACAACAGCTATGCTCACCTAAAATGTGGTTTAGGGTACAAAAGAGACCCTATCTCAGAGGCCATTTATCAGGTCTTAAAAGAGACAAAGACTACACAAGGCATGGCACATCATCTAGCATGAGGTCAAAATGGCATCTGCGGATTCACAGTCGGGACTCTAGGTATAAGGCATGGAACAAAGGGAATTGTCACAAAGTCATGGCTGATGGTAGAGCAAGACATCGCAGTTACAGGTGTGACTACAGAAGTGGGAACAGGGTCATGATAGGGACAAATATATTATGTTAATAAAGAAGGCTTACAAGATTGGCCAAAGACCTGACCAAGGCGTTCAGAGACACTGAAAGGGCATGATTCATGACTGGGTGAACCCTTGTAGTGTCCCTAGCATGGAGATCAAGGACACACCCAGGAAAGTCTTTTACAAACTTCTCCTCCCTGGATGACTGGGGACAGGTGGGAGCAGTCTGTTTTCCAAATGCACTCTACCTGAGGCCAAGATGATCTACATCCTTGGTTAATGACCAGAAAGAATTCAATGGAGGTTTAATCCATGTTGGGCCTCTACAAATGGATTTGGGGCTGTCACTGCCATCTATAGTTTTGCAAACCAGGGTGCTCAAAATTTAAGCTCTAGTAGAAGGAAAAGGGAACTTTCATTTAGAAAAACATATTCATGGGTGCCGGTCTTCAGAAAAATAAGTAACCAGATTCCTGTCTTTGTGAATTAAAACATTTACTTTTCTAGAGGATGATCACAAGCTCTCTAAGTCCTTTCTTTTCAAAATTCAGATGCATCAAATCCGAGATATAGCTTTATACCATTCATTTTGGTTTTGTAAGTTGGGAAAGTATCACAGTTGTCTCTTTGTTTGTTTGTTATTTTGAGAAAATTATTTGATCTCAAACAATAAGTCCCAGTACGAAACTCTTCTGGACATTTTCAAAGAGCTTCATCGTAGGACTTAATTATGCTATATGATGATGCAACAAGCAATTAAAGCTTAGGCTTGCAAGCTCAATTATATAGATTATATGGATTGCCTCCTCAATTTGTTGGGTTCTGAAAAGTAGGCCAAATATTATATAATACATATGCTGAGGGGACACTTCTAATATAGGAACCCCCCAAACAAAGCTACTGCAGTGGAGTTGAGGACAACTCATAGCAACCCTAGCAAGGTGGAACTGCCCGTTTCTGAGACTGTGACGCTCTCACTGGAGGTAGAAATCTCATCCTTCTCCTGAGGGCTGACTGAGGCAGCATTGATTCTAAGTAAAATTGAAAATTCTCTTTCCCTATCCTTTTTTCCAAATCCTTAACCCTCTTGATGCCACTCCACACCCTACAATAGTATCTATAACAGGGTAGGGCAATGTTTCTAAGGAAAAGACCTGATGGGAATCATGTGTACATTTCTGAGACCACCAGGCAAGGTTTCATCCTTGTTCAGACGTGGTTTGTTTGTGTGTCACCCTTCTCTCTCATTATGGGAGTGAGGTTGTTTTTCTTTCCATTTCAAACACCACTCAACAAAGAAATGGTGTGCACGATGATAAGCTTGCTGTCAATCCTGAGAGTCTATTAAGCATATTGCCACATGCCCCATGTGATAACTCAGGTGTATACAGAAACACCCACCTAATGAAATGGATTTATTCAGCTCATACACTGAGAGTTTTTTGCAATTTGCCTTAACTCTGTTATGCCGCAGGACACTATTAGAAATTGTAAGCGTCAGTGCTCAAAATGGTGCTTTCAGGCATTAAAAGAGGCATTCCAGTTGGAGTTAATAATGATAAAATTTCCCCTCTAGTGTTGTCATTTGATGATCTTTCAAACATAATTTGTTTGTATGCTTCCAGGAGAGGTGGCTCAACAGGAGACGGAAGAGATGATCCCAAGTAAAAGGGGTGCTGTCCTTGTGGATGGGGTTGTGTTGAATGGCCCCACCACTGATGCAAAAGCAGGAGAAAAATTTGTGGAAGAGGCCTGTAGGCTAATAATGCAAGAGGTGGTTTTGAAGGCTACAGATGTCCGTGAGAAGGTAAGATGGAGAGATTTTATGAAATGAGTTTTCAAATGTAGATGACCAAATGTACAATAAATGGGAAGTCCATACACTTTCCATTTTTGTATACTTTTGTTTCTAGGAGCTGTCCTGACACCAAATGTATGCTTTAAACACAATCTTCCCTCCCTGATCCACCCTTACCCATTCAAGATCTTTCCTTGAGGGTTCAGTTCTTACCCTGCCAGTCATCATCTGTTGGAAGATTGGCTGAGATTGCAGGTGAGGCCATGAAGCACAGAACCAGTCTTCCATCCCCTGAGAAGGATGGAAATGTTCTAGACAACAAGCTAAATGATAACCATCCTGTAATTGGATTTATACGTCCCTGGTGGTGTCGTGGTTATGTGCTGGGCTGCGATCTGCAGGGACAGCAGCTAAAAACCCACCAGCAGCTCTTTGGGAGAAAGACTGGGCTTTCTACTCCTGTAACAGTCTCAGAAACTCACAAGGGTGGTCACTATGAGTCAGCATTGACTCAGTGGCAGTGAGAGAGTCCTGATCTTAGCCAATTCCCTAAAACTTCCTCTAAAATAGCACCGTTGGTGTAGTTACATACTGGGCCACTAACCTTGAGATCAGTCACTTGAAACCACCAGCTGCTCCAAAGGAGAAAGATGAGACTTTCTACTCCAATAAAAAGTTATAACAGACTCTACTCAAGTCCTCCTTCAAGGCAAGAACACTTTGTTCCAATAACCTGGCATTCTGCGATGCTCACCTTCCCAACACGATCACTGAAGACAAACTGGGTGCATAAGCAAGTGTAGTGAAGAAAGCTGATGAGGCCTGCCTATTAAAAGATATAGCACCTGAGGTCATAAAGACTTGAAGATAAACAAGCGGCCATCTAGCAGGGGAGCAATAAAGCTCACATGGAAGAAGCACACCAGCCTGTACAGTCACAATGTGTCAACGGGATCAGGTATCAGGCATCAGAAGACCCCAAACAAACAATGTTATTGATTTGAATTGGGAGGGGGGGGGAGTGCTGAGTGGAAACCAAAGTCCATCTGTAGACAATTGGACATCCCCTCACAGAAGGGTCACAAGAAAGGTATGAGCCAGTCAGGGTGCAGTATAGCACTGACAAAACATGCAACATTTCTATAGTTCTTTAATGTTTCTTCCCCACCCCACCCCAACTGTCATGACCCCAGTTAGACCTTACAAATCCGGCTAGACTGGAGCATATACACTGGTACACTGGAGATAAGAGCCCTCAACACACAGAATCCAGGACAGATAACCCCCTCACGAACAGTAATGGGAGTAGTGGAGCTATCAGAGGAGGGAGAAGGTAGCGGGGAGTAAGGGGGAAACCATCATAATGATCAACTTATAACCCTTCCCCTGGGTTACAATCAACAGAAACATGAGTGAAGGGGGACAGTAGATAGTATAAGATATAAAAATAATAATCATTTATAATTTATAAAGGGCTCATGAGGGTGGGAGGGTGGGGGATGGAGCAAAAAAATGAGCTGATACCAAGGGCTCAGGTAGAAAGAAAATGATTTGAAATGGGTGATGGCAACATATGCACAAATGTGCTTGACACAATGGGCGTGCTTGACACAATGGATGTATGGATTCTTTTAAGAGCTGTTAGAGCCCCCAATAAAATTATTTTTTTAAAGAAGTTAGAATCTTAGAAACCCACTTGGACTTGGGAAATTTTATCTTGCCCTACAGGGTCACTATGAGTCATCAATTCATGTGATGGCCGGGAGATTTTATATATTTATTGTTTTAACATCCTCTGCTCCATATTTTCGCACATTTTCTGCTGTTAATGAAAATCAAGCAGAAGGTAGAAAAGGATGTGAACAATATTTTATTTATCTGAGGATCCTTAGCCGGAATTTAGACTGGGAATCTTGATTGTTATGTCCTGACTGGTACCAACTATTCATCCAAGTTTTACTTGTGGCTTCAGATTTAGCTTCAAATTGATATTAGGGTACTGCTATTAACAAACTTTTAAGAGTACTCATTATGCTCCACAAGCCCGGTTGGTGTACTGGGTTATATGCTCAACTGCTAACCGCAAGGTCAGCAGTTCAAACCCACCGGCTTCTCCAAGAGAGGAAGATAAGGCCTTCCTATTCCTGTTAACAGTTACAGCCTCAGAAACCCCGCCTGGCAGTTCTACTCTGTCTTCTAGGGCCATCGTGAGTCGGAATTGATTTGATGGCAGTGGAACTATGTGCCTTGCTCTGTTCTCCTGAATTTTACATACCTATTTATGTACTAAGCCTCATAATTCCAAAAGGTGGGTACTGTTAATATACCCATTTTAGAGTAGAAGAAACTGAGACCCAGGGAAGGGAAGCTTCCTGCTCCAGATCGTTTGTTATGTATCGGAGCTGAAATGCAAGCTCCAGCACTCTGCCTCCAGGTCTCCCCCATAGTAGGTCCCTTAAAATTCCTAAATTGCCTTTCATCGAAATGATCACTTTTCAAATTGGAATTGATTTGCCAACAAACGAGCATTCGAAGATATGCCTATTTCAATTAAATTTGTCAGAAATGTCATTTTAAAAATGTGGAATATGAAATGATATTTACTTTGAATTTTTGATTACATGCATTTGGAAGAATAAATAAGAAAAGAGATGGAAATGGCTCCTGAACTTTGAATACATGCTTGTGCTCAAGAAAAAAAATCACTGGTGGTATTTCCCAGTCATCTAGAGTATGTATTTACACTTGTATATTTTATGGTCTTATACATACTTGGGAAATATTTTGAATGCTGCCATAAGACAGAATTGACTCGATGGCCATGAATTTGTTTTTTAAATAATCACACAAAGAACAATAAAAGAAAGAAGAAAATGTTCTAAACTTAATTGTGGTAATGGTTATACAACTCTTCGATATGATTGAACAATTGAATTGTATGATATGTGGGTGAAGTGCCAATACAGCTATTCCAAAAATTTTTTTTGAAACCTTGCAGTGCACTGCTCCTTTGACAATTTTTAAAAACCTGGCCTTTATACAGACATTAAATATTAATTGAATGTTAGGTATGGGTAATGCATTAGATTTGGCTTTGGGAGATATAAAGCAATAAAAGTCCAGCTTTGAGCCAAATCTACAGCATAATTGGAAGGAGAAGGTTTCATTGGTAAACAGACCAGGGGTCCCAGTGAGATTTTAATAAATTAGGGTAGACATTGGGGATTTCACCTGGGTGGGCACTTTTTGCTTAATGTGGAATGTAAAGGTTAAATCAGATTTTAATGGGCAGAGAGAAGGCAGGAAGGGGAGTTGCTTATTTCTAAGAGTGTTAAAGAAAGCAAAAAAGGCAAATAATGGTAACGATAACACAAAAGGACAGAATATGTTGATCCTAGCAAGGGAAACTTCGTTGCCCGAAAAGGATTCAGATAGGAACTTTGAGGGGTGGGGGTAAGATGGGAAAGGAAGATATAAAATCTTGAGTTGTCAAATGAAAAGACTCCAAGTTGATCTCATTATAGGAGGTGCATAGGGTGTTCACGTAAAATTGGGTTGAAATGTGTATGGTGGTTTGGAGAGGAGGGTGCGGGTCTCACCTCACTGCTCATTCAGCATACTCTGAAACCCAGCAGGGCACCATGAAAGGCAACCTGTGAATATCTCTCCATATTTCGTAAGACCCTTACTTCTAGTGAACTTTCCTGTAGACACTTCTTCTCAGCCACTTAAAATCATTTTTAAATGTATGTAAAGTTTTCATGTAGTAAATTTTATCCTTTTGATGTGCATTTGTATGAGTTTTGGTGAGTTTATATAGTCAATGTAACTAATACCATAATCAAGATCTAAACCTATTCCAATATCCCCAAATTTCCTCTCTATAGTCACCCCTCCCCTTACCTCTAAGCTCTTGTCACTACTGAGATGTTTTTTGTCCCAATAATGTTTTAATTTTTTTGAATATAACATGTAGATGGAATCATATCCTATGTAGCCTTTTAAATTTTACTGTTCTTTCAGCAGCATGCATCTGAGATTCATCCAAGGTTTTGTTTGTAATCATTCCTTTTCATTGACTTGATCACTTTTGATTTACTACTGACTGTCATGTTTATAAAAAGCCCTGGTGGTATAAAGGGATTAAGAGTTGGGCTGTTAACAACAAGGTTAGCAGTTCGAAACCACCAACTGCCCTGAGGGAGACAGCCAAGGCTTTCCACTCCCATAAAGATTTAATAGACTCAGAAACCCACAGGGGTTGTTCTACTCTATCCAATGAGTTGCAGTCAACTTGATGGCAGCGAGTTTTTGCATTTATCATAGTTAGGTTGTATGGTACGTCATGCATTGGGTTACTAACTGCAAGGTCAGTGCAGTCCTAGCAAAGTCAAAAACCACTGCCTGCTCCTTAGGGGACAAGATTAGACTTTCTACTCCATAAAAAGAGTGACAACCCTAGAAACCCACAGGGGCAGTTCTACTTGTCCTATCTAGTTGCTATGAGTCAGCCTTGACTTAATTGCAGTGAGTTTGGCTTGGATAAAACTGTTGGGTAAATAAGGGACGATTAACCCCAAGGTCATTGGTGTGGACCTTCCAGGTGCCAGTTGGGAGAAAGATTGGGGGTGCTGCAAGTCAGAATCTACTCCATGGCGGTAGTTTTGAGTGAGTCTCATGGTTTTGAAGCTCCTGGGATTCACAAATGGCAAAACGCTCAATTCCTAACCGAAAGATTGGTTGTTGAATCAACCAAGAGGTACGTGGAAGAAAGGCCTGCCAATCTACTGCTAGAAGGTTACAGCCATTGGAAACGGAGCACAGTACTGTTCCGATATGCATGTGGGTGCATCTGTTGGAAACGGCTCCACAGCACCTGGTTGTTGTTGGGTTTGGGTTTGCTTTTTTCAGTTGTTTGCTTTGGGTTGGTCCTGGACACAATAACAGGATTTTCCACAACTTGAAATTCCTCCTGCTTTCCTCAACCTCCCCCTTCGCAGTGTCTTCAGCCCTGGCTACTTCACGGCCTCTCTTCTCCCCTTGGACAGTTTTTAAGACTTGTCTCTGGTCCCTCCCTCCCTGTTTCCTCACCTCCTACCCCTCCACTTCATAGCAATCTGGCCTTCACTCCCACCTCGCTAAATCCGACAGCTCTTGCCAAAAACACCTCCTGGTTGACACATCCCATGAGCATTTCTCAGTCTGCCTCTGATTTGGCTCCTGAGCCATATTTGATAACGGTGACCACCTTCTCGTGTTTAAAACATTCTGTTGTCGCTGTGTTCAATAGCACGAAATCTGTTAGGGTTCTCTTCCCTCTCTGGCGTCTCTTCCACCTCACACATGTGCTTCCTTTCCTTTGCCCAGTTGAAGTATTGATGCTGCCCTGGTATGACCCCAAACCTCTCCTCATCTGTGTAGTTTTGATCTGAGCCGTGTCTCTCAACATAGTGATATCGGAGGGGACACCTACAACTCTGCCCTTGATGTGTCAGTCACAAGAGCGTTACGCCAATATCGACTCCTCTTTTGGATGTTCTCAAGGTACCTTCTACTAAATAGCCTCCGAACTCACCATCTCTCACCTAAAGTTAGAAAGGAGAAATTGGAGGTATATGAGCATAGGGGTAACCATGGTTTCGATTTAAGAAGATCACTCTATTTGCTGTACTAATATAAGGGGCATACTTAGGAAACTTTTTGCAGTAGTCTAGCTTTACTTCTTCAAACTCTGTTTTGGCTACACCCAGCATTTGGCTACACCAGGTAGATGTACTACCTGACCTCCTGAACCTGAGCTTTATATCAAGTTTCTGAGGCTGTAACTCTTTGCAGGGGCAAATACCCTCATCTTACTTCCATGGAGAATTGACCTTGAGGTTGGCAGTCCAGTGTTGTTAGCAGTCAGCAACACCACCAGGGCGCCTCTCTGACTCACAGTAACATTCGGGGACACAGTAGAGCTCCCTCTCTGAGTTTGAGACTGTACATCTTTACAGTAGCAGACGACTTCATCTTTCTCCAGATATGCCACTAAAAACCCCCAAATAAAAAAATTAACTTGCTGCCATCAAGTTCAACTCATTCTGCCTAATAGTCTCCTTGCAGGACCCTATTATCCCAGTGCTTATTTGAGCCATTCTTTTCTTTTTTATCTTCTAACAAGTTAGATGTTAATGTCACCAGGCAATTTTCTTTGACTTTCCAAGTGTAAGGAAAACTACCTGTCGATGAGTCAACTACACCTCACAGTGACCCTGTGCCAGGTCTCCAAACGCTCTTAAATCTTTGTGGGTGCAGATAGCCTCATCTTTCTCCCACTTAGAGGCTGGGGGGTTTGAACTGCTGATCTCCTGGGTAGTGGTCCAACCCTTCCCCCAAAACGCCACCAGGGCTCCATACATGGCAGTTGGAGCACGTCTGTTCTTCCTCTCATAGCTCTTTTCACACTGAACTATGGCTTCCATTTAATTCTCCATCTCTCCCACTTTCTTGTCAGCTTTGTAAGGGTAAGGCGCATGGTTCCAGTGTTTTCTCACTACTTAGCATACATGGGGCATCACCAAACTGTGCTTGAATCTCCAGGTTTGTGAATGGCAGCCTCCTGAGCAACTGAAGCAGCTTCTTGATTTGGAGATGAGAGACACGGGAGAGCCACATCACAGGCTCCTGGGACTCTGCCAGGATGTCATACGCTACAGTGTCAAAACCAGTAAGGATTCTAATTGACTTCCAGGGTCTGTCACGTTTTACCTTTTCTTAAGTATGTATTGCTTCTGAAGAATGCAGTGGATGGCTATGTTCTCATGACGAGAAGCCAAAATAAAAGACAGTGGTCCTGTATGTTTTTACTGTGGTCCATTTATGGTCATCTTTGATTATTCTCAGATTTGTTATCCAAGTGAACTGATGGGAAAACTGTTGACTTTTAATTATCGCATATAAATATCATCTGGTTTTGGCAAGACCCATCCTTCCATTATAATCAAGAATGTACAGACACTACTTACTGGGATGGGTATTGTGTCTTCTGTTGGGCCAAAGCAAGAGATACTTTGATTCTATTAATTTGTTTAAAATTTTTAAATCTTGATGGCCCAGAATATATTTAAAAAGTAACATTTCAAAACTGTGTCCTTAACATAAACAAAAATGAATTTATTTCAATGATAACAGTGGTCACCCTTTTCGTCCATTTGTCCAGTGTAGCCAAGTTGCTTGCTTATGTTCATATACCTCATATTTACTTATGAGTAATCCTATTGTACTATTATTGCTGCTAATATTGCATGGTGCCTCATTTATAAATTACACTGCATCATAAGAATGTCTGGCTAAGAAGTAAGAGTGGATAGAGGATCTATAGCCATGGCTTTAAGCACCAATGGTTGTGTCGTGGGGGAGATGTCTCAGAATGTATCCTCCATGGGGAAGGGAGGACTACTGCGCCGAGAAGTTCTTGGCACTTGATGATCACCAAACTAATTTATCAAGTCTGGCAGGATTGAAAAAGTAGAAATCCTTCGGGAAGTATTAGGAAAACGAATGCATGATAAGCGTTTGCTTTGATTGTTCCACAAAGATGCTCTAGCCTACTGTGATCTTCCGTAAATCTAGTAATGTGGTTTCGTTCTTGCGGTGAAGTGCTATTCCAACGGACTATTAATAGCCTCTACACCCGGTGAGCAGGATTCAGAGTGGGAGAAAAGCTCCCCAAACTATGCATTCCTCCATGCGATGTAAAGGCAATCCAGGGATTAAGAACGTACAGGCATTATGCTTGGTGAATTCTGACACTGAACTAAATTTAGTGGAAAGAATATAATAAAATCCTGGCTAAAAATAATTGGATTATATCCCCTTGGGAAAGTCTAGTGCATGTATCAAAAACCCAGCTAGCATTTCAAAAGGAGAGATACATATCTTATTATTATAGTGTATGTCAGAAGTGTAGAATGACATTTAATGTGGTAGATTTTTCAGTTTCTGGATATTTTCCATGATGTTACCATGGAAATCAATCATAAATTAGCACAGATTAGAGGGAAAAACCTTATTAAAATTACTTGTAGCAATGTCTAGTTTTCTTCCCCAGATCAGAAGGAGTCTTCCATTTTATTTGAGAAGTCATTTTCTTCTGAGATTTTTTTTTTTAAACTGAACTCCTAGTTTACAAACAGAGGAGGTAGGGGTAGGGATGTAAACGTTATAAATTGTGATGGTAGATCACTAACTAAATAGTTCCCTGGGCCTCAAAGTTAGAAACGGACCTGCTGCTTCTTTGTTCTCTGTCGTGCTGGGCTTCCTATGATTGAGAATGTCAAGCCAGTTAGCCTGGTGTCTGGTGTGAATATTCACACTGTGTAAAGCCAAGAACCTTTATGAGACCTTTTTTATGAGTGAAAAAAAATAAAGAAGGTTGGAAGTAGAAGTTGTTTGGGTCTTAAAGGCAACTGCCTTTGAAATAAGTTGAATCAGAACGTTGACACAAGCTGCCTGGTGAATCACCTCTTACTCCCATCTCCATAATGCCAGTGCCAGGCACAGTCAGCCAGTCAGAAACCTGAAAGGTCACTCACTGAAGTGAAGCCTTTTTTGGTCAGTGAAATAGGTGTTTGAAGTTTGGGGAGTCAATATTGATATTTTCCAGAAGAAAGAAAACAGACTTTGATATGGACAAATACTCTATTTCTTTAGAGGTTTGGTTTAGGTCTAGGTTGTGAAAAATAAACCAGCAGGCTTAAAAGTATGCTGAAAAGTAAAAGTAAGCATTACCTAAAATCTTATTTTCAACATCTTTTTCCCAGGACATGATGAAAATTTGACGTTTTTACCTTCAATAAAGTCCATAAATCTAAAGGGTTTATCTTATCACAAAGCTTTCTGTAGCTCTGTGTATGTAACCCAGCCCAGTCAAGACAGAGGACATTTTCACTCAACTCCAAAGGCTACCTCAACCCCCTTCCAATAAAAAAATAGCCTTCCAAAAGTTGCCCAAAATTCTAAACAGTCTGTATAGAGCTTTGCCTGATTCTGAATTTTATATACATGGATTCATAAAGTCCATTCTGTTGTGTTTGCTGGTTTTCCACTGTTTGACTCATTTGTGTTATTGCTGTATAAATAAGTATTTTAAATTGCTGAGTGAGTGAATACTTTTTTAAAAATTTACAGATCACCCAAGATTTTTCAACCAATTGTACGCTGGACTTGACTACTACTCCTTGGTTGCGCGGTTTATGACAGAAGCATTAAATCCAAGTGTGTAAGTGCTTTGTTATTGGAACTTCATAGTGATCATGGATTAGAGATTATTAAAAGGTTGATGGATTTTTATTTCATGAATTTATATTTAGTGATTTCATGTGTGTATGGTCATCTAAATAACAAATAAAAACGTTTTATGGCACTGAGCAGTCCTTGATGAGACTGTTGGATTGTACAGTGGTCCTACGAGATGGCTAAAGCAGGCAGTTACTTCCATTTAAAAGATGAGGATCTGATTAAGCAACTTATTATACATAACTTTATCAAGTGTCATGTCTTCACTGAGTGCTGGAAATACCACTGAAATAAAACCGAACCATCATTTTGCTATCCTAGAGCATAGTATCTGATGAGAGAAAGAGAGTTCTTGATGTAAGTTTTAGATGTAAAATTCAAACTCTCCCATGAGGAAGTACATGGTGCTATAAAGATAACAAGGCACTATTTTCCTAGTTGAGAACACAGTCTAGGTTTTCTCCAAGGAAGGGACAGCTAAGTGCTGAAAGGTGAGTAAGAGTTAGCTAGGTGTAAAGAAGGATGAGCCCTTAGCAGAGGGAGCAGCATGCACAAAGGCCCTGTGGCTGGATGCCACGTGACATAACTGGAACAGGTGCGAATATAACTGAGATTGTTAAAGGGAATGTAGTGGATGATGAGGCTGGGTTTGTTTGTTTTTTATAATTCCAAGCACAATGCAAAGTTTCTAAATCATTAAGTGTCATTTTCTTATTGAAAAGGTCATCCTGGTAGTAGTCTAGCAAAGGAGAGGAATATATGAGAGGAGAGCCGTTAGGACCTTTGTCTGTTGAGTGAAAATGGTATATGGATTTGAAGGAGAGTGGTAGGAATGGAGATTGGAAAATGTATTTAGAAGACAAAACAGAAAGAGTCGGTTAACAATTTGGACCTTGGATATGAGGACAAAAGGGAGGCTTCTGGGGTGATGACAGGATCTCTGGTGTTGATGGTCATGACATTCACTGATATAAGAAACATTGGGAGAGAACACCAGGTGAGACCAAGAACTGTTTTCAGTTATGAAAACAATATTTCAATAGAGGTTAGACATTGGGCTGTGATCTGTAAGGCCAGTTCGAAACCACCAGCTGCTCCAAGAGCAAAAGACAGGACTTTCTAACCCCATAAAGAGTTACAGTCATGGAAACTGATGGGCACATTTCTGCCCTGTTCTATAGTGTGGCTATGATTCATTTGCAATTGACTCAATGGCTGATTTTAGAAGCCAGTATATCAACTAAGCTGAGAGTCATACCTAGAATTCTTATATCTAAATTAAAGTATAAATTTAGGTAATATTGGTGGGGCAGTGAGTTAAAATATAGGCTGCTAATGTTAGTCTGACGGGTTGACTGTTAGAACCCACCAGACTCTCCATGATGAAGAGGCGATCTCGTTCCATAAAATGTTACAACCTTGAAGTCAGTTCTGTTTTGTCAGATGGGGTGTGGTGGCAGAATGGTTATGTATTGGACTGCTAACTCCCAGGTCAGCAGTTTGACACCATAAGATGTCCTTAAAGAGAAAGAAGAGATTTTCTACTCCTGTCAAGAGTTTCAGTCTTGGAAACACCCAGGATCAGTTTCACCCTGCCCTCTAGGGTCGCGATGAGCTGGAATTGACTCCAGGGAGGAATAAGAATCAGTACAGTGGCAGTTAGGTTGGGTGGGTATTGGTGAATTGATGGTCATTGGAATGGGGTCTATATAGTAGCCATGACTTTCAGTGATTTTCAACTCTGATTCTTCATGAGAATCAACTTGGGAACTTAAACATATTGATGCCTGGCCTTCAAACCAGCCCAGGTAAATCTGAATCTGTACGAGTGTGTTTCAGCCATTGCTACATTGATAAAACTCCTCAGGTGATTTTAATGAGTACCAAGGATGGAGCATCACTGTCGGGGACACAGAGTTAAAAAGTGAGGGAAAAGGGACTTAGGACTGAGCCTTGAGAATAGCAACATTCCACCACGAGGAGGACTCACATGCAGTAGACACAGACGACGGAGAAACTCAGCACAGACATAGATGCCATGGAGGGAGTGTGCCTAAAGCCAGAATGGGCTCAATGACATCATTTGCTGTTGAGCAGTTAACTAGACAAACTCTGAAAATTGTCTCTTTGTCAAACCACATGCACATTGTTGATGGCCTTAGGAAAGAAGGTCTGGTAGAGTCGTGAGGGCAGACACCAGAGTAGGATGGGTGGAAGAGTAAGTGTGAAGAGAAGTCAGAAGTCAGAAGACACAGTAAGATATACAGTTCTTGGTGGAAGTTTTCAAACTCCAGTCAATTCCATCATCTGAAATAAGTAGTTGACTAATAAGTACATAGATGGAGAGATGAATAGATACATAAATTGTTAAATCCATTCATTTAAAAATCAATTTTACTTGAGATTTCTGAATTGATCTTTACTTGTTTTTAGAGCCAGGGAACAGCATGCACTGTTATTACCATGTTATTGATCAGATGACAGGAAGAAAACGCTAACTCTGAAAACTCAAGTGCTAGCGAGTGTTAAGGTGAACAATCCTTTTGAAATACCACCAGGAAGATAGTTCCTAGTATGTTCTTCTCCACCTCCAATTATTCTCAAGCTTAGAGTTGGACCAGTTTTGAAAGAAGCTTGATAATTTTTTTTCTTACAAAAAGTACATTACTTGCTCATTTGCATTGTCAGGTACACATTAAAATTTATACGTAAAAAAAGAAACCACTCTTGGAATTTTAAATTGACTTCAAATGGTGGGAAAACAGACCGCTCTTTATTGTGAAATGACGGGCTGTCTGTAGGGAGTTTGGTCCATAGTAGGCCTCATTTTTTCCTTTGCTTTCTTACCAATGCTTTGTCCTCAGATTTAAACTAATTGCATTCAGTTTTGTGATTATAACTCTAGATGTGTCTGCTTATCCATATTTATAGTACACATTTATTCCAATGCGAATGGAAGTAATCACTGAATTGAGGGGATTATAGCGATTTAGTCACCCTTGAGTTATCCGGAGAGAGGAATTCAAGCAAAGGAAAATAAGGCTGTTGGTAACTGTCACAGCTTGGAGTCTCTGGGAAGCCAACTCTAGATGGGGCTTCGTGAGCCAGGCTGTTCATTACTGAGTACCCCCTCTTGTGGTCAACACTCATTGACTGGAGGGAAGATCACCGTGAATGGACAGGAGTCAAGTTCAGATACAGGCTCAGTGGCAGCAGAGACGGACCCTACAGAAATCCCAGGAGCTAGGATGGCCCTTCAGAATGGGCCTAAGTTGAGCCCAGATGGGCAGGTCTTTCTAGGTCAGGCGCCATCAGCCATCCAGTGTAGACCCTTACCGGATGGGACCTGGTCTTGGAGGAGGGGCCCTGCTGCAGCAGAGGCGGTCTCCAACGAGCTGACAATAGCCTTCCAGCCCCTGGAACAACATATCCTTGTCCAGGAATCTACGTGGTCCCTTTGCAGGGATATCAGCCACCTAATGGGAAGTCCTCAGAGTTCCTCTCCGTTTGTAGAAGTGCAGGCCTCGTTCCAGACAGGTGGTCTCCACATAGAATAGTGAGAACTATCAGCATAGGAATTGCTCATGGCGTAACCTAGTGAAACCTGGTTCCCATGACATTTTCTTTTTTAACCAGCATCCGAAGCACATCTTAGAGAATACAATGGCTACTGGCTCATGGTAATGCAAAGAATCAAGACGCTGGATTCTTTCTCTCCCCCAAGGGAATTCAAGGTTCTTACCCATCGAAGTCAGATGAAGTAGCTGGTGTGTGGATCCCCGAGCTCACCAGCTACTGGCGTTGACCTAACCAGAACATAGCCACGGGTCTCATATTTCTTTATTTTAATGGCTGCCTTTCCAAAGGCTCTACCTGCACATAAACAGCGAGGTGCTTTGATGAAATGCTGTGTGCGTTTCTTGGGACACCAAGGAATGGTTTGACTCGAGTCATAGAAGTGAAGTGTTTTTTTATATCTATCTAGTTATACGTATGAGGTGTCCCCAGTGTTTCTATTAGTGGAAGAAGCGGTACTGAAGAAAATGATTGAATTTATTGGCTGGAAAGAAGGGGATGGAATCTTTAACCCAGGTAAGTTCAATTCGTTATGGCCATCACCCTTCAGTTATGAGCATCTACAAAGTAGTTCATTCATGTTCTATACAAAGAACTGAAACTCTTTCGAGATTTGCACAGGGCAAAATATTGCACATTAATAATGCTGTTTGATGAGAATCGAGCATATGCCTTCTGGAGTGTGATGACATTTCTGTAAATGCTAAGCAAGCTTGTCACACACTTGAAGTCTTTTCAGTTAATGGTCTTTACCTAGAAAAACTGAATTATCCGCTGTAAAGTTTGGAAGGGCTCTGGTAAGTCCTCCAAGTTTTAAAAATCACCTTTACTTGAGGAGGTTTCTGAATCATATTGTGCTTATCTTTACCATCCTTTTTTGGAGTTGAGGATAGACACTGTATCTTTACTTTCATGTTATTAATCAGATGAGAGAATGAAAATGATTTCTGATGTAGATGTGGGCCCAGATAAGAAGCCCTGGTGGTGTAATGGTTACTCACTGGTATGCTAACCACAGGGTCTGTGGTTTCAAACCACCAGCCACTCTGTGGGAGAAAGATGGGCCTTCCTACTCCCTTATAGAGTCACTGTCTTGGGGGAAAAACCACAGGGGGCAGTTCTACCCTGTCCTACAGGACTGCTATGAGTCGGCATTGGCTTGAGGTCAGTGAGTTTGGTTTTAGTGCTTCCAGATAGACTTCCTGGGTCTAAATCTAGAGCTTATAAATTGCAATTTTCAGTTGAGAAAAAACCATAGCAAGTCACACTAAGCTAAAATCTGTCTGTTTACTCATTTTGGAAATTAGTATGTGTGTCAGTGGGATATTCAGAGTACCGAGGAGAGGCGAGTTCCGATGTCTTTCATTATAGCTTGTACCTGTTGTACTTTATACTGAATTCAGCAAATAGGAAATGGTAACTTCCTACTATAAATATAATGTGTTAATTTTATTTTTCCAGGTGGTTCAGTGTCCAACATGTACGCCATGAACCTAGCTAGATACAAATACTGCCCTGACATTAAGGAAAAGGGCCTCTGGGGGCTGCCAAGATTCGTCCTTTTCACATCTGCCGAGGTAAGCAAGTGTTCCAGATGCCGGTTATGTCTTTTCCGACAGTGCAATATTCAAGTGGGACTGCTTATTTGCGGATTGCTGATGTGATTTTAAACTCTTCGCGTGTGACTAATAGGCCTAAATATAACGCAATAGCTCATTTAAAAAAAAACTCCAATCGGTTTGATATTGTCATATCTCGCCACCCGATGTTGCACATCACCTTTCTTTAAATGCTATAGTCTGTGACAATTGTTTTGTTTTTTTTTTGAGAAAAGAACATTTAATGTGAAAGTGCGATCTCCTTCCACGAATGTTTTCTTTGAGTGAATTTATTAGAGCTTAAATGATTGCTGTTGACCGGGGCTACGTCTTGCACTCACATTTCCTTGTCAACTGGATTGCTGTGGGGGCTAATATAAACCCTTCGGACCTTCCTTTTCAAGGGGAAAAGGAGATAACCAGTCAAGACGAGCACTACATACCACACCAACACGACTGAACGTGACCACAGTTCCTTTCTCTCTTATTTTACTCTCCATTGAGTAGGAAGTCAGAGAGTGGCGAAATGCCTGGGCTTTGAGCAAGACTGCCTGAGTTTAATCCCTATGCCAACCCTTTATTGTCCGAGTGACCTTGGGTAAATGAACATTTGTGTTACTCATTTTTTAAAAATCTGTACAAATAAGTCTATTCGTTAACTTTTGCCAGCCAACACATCCCGAAACCCAGTGGCTGGAGATGGTAACCATCACATAAGTCTCTGGATTGCTCAGTAGTTGTGGTGCTGAAGGCTCGGCTCGCTTGAGAGGCTCAGTTTGGGCTGTCTGGTGGCTCATCTCGGTGGCTTGGTGGGGGTGATGGTGGTGATTTATGCCTGCAGCTTTGTGTCTGTCCCTCTTTAGCTGGCTAGTCCAGGTATGTTCTCAGGGCTGTAGTAGAGGGGCAGTGAGCTTGCAGACACCCCAGGCCTTTGGAGTCCTGGCTTAAGAACTAGCACATCGTCATTTCACCTTACTTTCTTCGGACTGTAGCTCAAACCTCTGAATCCAGACCCACGATGAAGGAAAATAGGTGGACTCTTGAGGGGCGCTGGTACAAAGTCAACCAGCAAAGGGCATCCCTACAGGGAAGAGCCCAGCCACCCCAGCAAGCTTCCTGCTGCTGCTGTGTCTGTGAGACGACTCAGTGAATTAATTCATGTAAAGCTGTGTCTGTCACATAGTAGGTCATTGACGTTCTAGTGATATTCCAGAATAGATAAGTTCCAGGAAACAGAAGATAGCCTAGGGGTTACTGGGGGCTACGGGGGCAGAGGTATAGGAAGTTACTGTTCAGTGGGAACAGGTTCTGTTTGGGGCGATGGAAAAATCACTAGAGAGAGAGTGATACTCTTGGCATGGCATTGTACATGTAATAAATGCTACTGAATGGTATAATTAAGACAGCTAAAATGGTAATTTTTCTGTCATATGCATTTTAGCACAACATATATATTTTAAGTCCGCTGTTATTATTGCTTATAGGCAGAATGGCCTGGCTGTGATGACGTGGGCAGCTGACAGCTGGAGCATAGCTTATGTGGAACTTGATTCCGTTTTCCTTCTCTATGTTGTGTGATCCCAGTGGGTGCTTCCGCCCACCCCTCCGGTACCTCTTTCCCAGATCCTTTGTAGGAAGTGCCTTCTGCGTTGCTCATTTGGGTCTCTCTGCGACCCATGAAGAAGGCAACCTCCAGAAAGTTCTCCCATAGTTCCTGCTGGGCCTTTCTGTGTCTGTTTCAAGACCGAAGGTGACTTTTTATTGTAAAAGGACAAATCATGCACTGAGAGGCCAACGGTGAAAGAAAACCTGCCACCTTCATGCTGTCGTCCTACCCTGCTTGGCCTTTGCTTTAGTTAGTGTGGTCCTAAAAGGCTATGTGTGGCCTGGGAGTTTGTATACAGCAACCAGCGCCCATCTTCCCGAGCTGTTCTCTCTGTGCGAAGAGGAGATTCAGCTCGTCTGGACAGCTTGGGAGATTAACTATTATGGAGGAGAGTTTCCTGTTCTATGTTAACTCTTCAGAAATGGCATTTAGAAGGACCCCTGGGGATCTGACATTCAAAGAAGCCCCTTCCGTGTGTAAGATGCTATTTCCAGGCCTGGGAAAGCTGATTTAATCGGACCCCTGTGAGCAGCTCGATGTTTTCACACTTGCCTCTTTCATTCTTCATTGTGTTTAAACCTTGCTGGATTTCTCATCTGGAATCATTACCCTGAAAGAGAAGAAATCCTAGAGTCAGCTAGAATGAAGATGAGGCCCATGGTGGTGGTGGTGGTGGTGGTGGTGGTGGTGGTGATC